TCCCTTCATGCTCCTTCCCACAAACTCCTGGAAGACCGATTCAGGATCAACTTTAGGAAAAACTTCTTCACAGTCAGGGTGTCCAGACTGGAATAAAATCCCTCCAGAGGTGGTGCAGTCACCTACCCTGGGCATCTTCATGAAGAGACTAGACGGTCACCTTGCTGGGGTCACCTGACCCCCAGGTATCTTTCCTGCTTGGTGCAGGGGGCTGGACCCAATGATCTTCCAAGGTCCCTTCCAGCCTTACAGTCTATGAATCTACTGTTCCCTTCCCATGCTAGGAACTTCCCCTAAGCCCTGTGTGTGCTTTGCCCAGGACTCCCTCCCCGCTCCGGCCTTCCCAGTGACCTGTGCAGGATGGAACGAACCCGGAGACTCTGCTCTCTCTCTTTGCTCTGGGCCTGACATGTTCTCTCCTCATTGCCGACCTACCTGTGCTCTAGGGCTGGCAAGCCCATAACCCCTTCCAGCGCAACCAGGGCTCTTTTCTGCAAAATGTCACATGCGTTTGGTACTATAGAATGATCGAATACAATCCCCTACTCCTGGGGCAACGGGAGTCTAGGGGTACAAGTGTTATGTGCTGTGGGTCAGCCCGGGCTGACAGGAGCTAGCTGAGGGTCCGTTCAGCAGTGAGATATTGCTGTTGCAGCACTCGCACTTTGCCAGACACTGACACGCACCCTCTGGCTGGCATGGTGGTGTCCCAGTAACCCGAGCCCCAGCAGAGGTATTGCTTCCTGTCCCCTCAAAAATGTGGGGGCCATGGTGAGAGCCAAGCTGAGACCAGGCCTGCGGGGAACATGTGGCAGATAGTGGCCTAGCGTTACACTGCTGGCCCCCAGGATGCTGGGGTAGGGACGGGCTGGGTTGTGCCAGAGGCAGCAGCTGGGTGAGCTTGTCTCTCTTGCTGTGCACACACACGGGCAGTGTGTACCTACACTCCACATGCTTTCAGCTTAAGTGCTAGGTGCCAGCTTGATATAGGAGAGGAAGGGACCCCTTAGTCCACTGAGCGTGTTCCTCTGTTCACAGTCAACCGCATATCCAGACTCAAACAGTGTCCGCTCCACCCCCTTATGCACCACAGCTACAAAGCACATGACAAAGCTACCACGCCTCTGCTGGGTCCCTTGGGTAACAGGCAGGAAGACAAGGGCTGTGTCTTGCTGCAGCAGATCAAGCCAGCCTCAATCCCAGAAGTGTCAAATGGAGCTCATCCCTGGGAAGCCTGTCAAAGTCTGCTAGTGGTGCAGTGTTCCCAGAGTAGCCTGATCATGCCAGCCTCTGAACTACCTGTTTAATCTTCATCATTTCTCCCTTCTCTCAGGATGGGGAGATATACAAAACAGTGACCTGGATGGGGTGGCAGATGAACTGCTCCTTTCCCCTAGTATAAGAACAAGGGGCTCCCAGCTGAAGCTCCTTCAGGCTAAGATCCACATATGAACCTCCCTGCCCATCTCATTGTGAGGCCTCAGGGTTTGAAATTGGAAGTCTTAAACATAGAATCATAGAAAATGAGGGTTGGAGGGGACCTCAGGAGGTCACATCTAGTCCACCCCCCTGCCCCAACTACATCATCCCAGCCAAGGCTTTGTTGAGCCAGGCCATAACACCTCCTGGAGATCCCACCACCACTCTGGGTAACATGTTCCAGTACTTTACCACCCTGCTAGTGAGAGTTTTTTCCAACCTAAACCACCCTTGCTGCAACTGGAGCCCATTGCTCCTTGTCCTGTCATCTGCCCCCACTGAGAGCAGCCCAGCTCCATCCTCTTTGCAACCCCCTTGCAGGGAGATGAAGGCTGTTATCAAGCCCCCTCAGTCTTTTCTTCTGCAGACTAAATAAGCCCAGTTTCCTCAGTCTTTCCTCACAAGTCCTGTCCCCCAGTCCTTGAACCATTTTCATTGCCTTCCGCTGGACTCTCTCCAGTATGTCCACATCCTTTCTTTGGTGGAGGGGGCCCACAGCTGGACACAGGACTCCAGATGTGGCCTCCCCAGTGCTGAATAGAGGGGAAAAATCACTTCCCTCGATCTGCTGACAAAGCTCCTACCAGTGCAGCCCAGGATGCCATTCGCCTTCTTGGCAACAAGGGCACACTGCTGGCTCGTATCCATCTTATTGCCCACTGTCAGCCCCAGGTCCTTTTCTGCAGTGGTGCTGCCCAGCCAGTTAGCCCCCCGCCTGCACCAGTACATGGGATTTTTCCATCCTAAGTGCAGGACTTTGCACTTCTCCTTATTGAACCTCATGAGATTTCTTTTGGCCCAGTCCTCCAACATGGAGTAGCTGGGCTCAGGCTGTCCTGACACTCATGCAGAAGTAGGGCAGCTCCATCCCTACAGAGCCCCGGGGGAGTGTGCGAGCAGTGCCAACGTCCTGCTGTGTTGCTGACACAGCCTTCCTCTCTTGGAGAAGGTCGGGCGCACTCCCTCTTGCTCTAACTGCTATGCAGTGTTTCACTAGTAGTCTGAGAAGGTGGATCACAACTAAGATCAAAGAGTGTGAATGGAGCTGGCAGTTGCACCATTAAGTTGTTACCCAGCATTAACAAACCCATTTCATTCGGATTTAAAGTTACAGCAGGTTAGCTTGCTTACTCCAGGAGAGGCGTGAGCAGATGTAATGGTCAATTCAAGCTCCTGAGTAGCAGGTCTCACCTCCCCTTTGAAAATGGTTGAACATCATGTCCGCCCATGGCCTGAAACATCAGAGCTGGCCTGGCATTGGGCACCCACAGTCTTTTAGATCATTTGACTCCGGGCCAGTTGTCAGAGCTGTTGGTACTAACCCATGCGCCTATCCCGAAGCCATCACCAGTGTGTGCTCCGTGGGCAGCTGGGCTGTGCCCTAAGGCATCTTGCCAGCTGCTTTTGTGGCAGGCAGTAACTCACTCTCCTCCTCTCTTCTCAGGACAGAGATCTTCTCCGGCAAGACAGTTACTCATGAAGATATCAAATATGAACAGGCATGCATCCTCTATAACCTTGGTAAGGCCCAGAGCACAATGGCTTGGCTTCCTTGGCAGCCTCTGTTTGCAGAGAGAGTCTGCCATGGCTTGTTGAACCCCAGACAAGTGTCCTTCTCCCTGGCCAGCCCTTCCTCTCTGCATGACCCATCTCCTACTGTGCTAAGAGGGACCTGAGAGGGTAGAGAACCTAGGCAGCCTCCATGAAGGTGCATTGCCTTTTAGTGCCTTGCCATGAACAGGGAAGGCCGCTGAATGAGGCCCTTGTTGCTTTACAACATTGGCCAAACCACAGCCCTTGATGTGCTTCTTTTCTATGTGTCCTGTAGCCTTTGATCTGAGGCTACGTTCAAGGTGTGTGACTCTGCGTGTGTGTGTGTGCGCGCATGCGTGTGCAGTCAAGGATGATTCTCTTCCATGATGGTCTTATCTGTGGTCCGAAGGTGCCTGACGAGGCCTATCCAGGATTGACAGACTCTGTTTTGGCTCAGGCACATGTTTCGGTACAGTGTGGGTGCCTCTGGGTTTTTGGTTCTCGTGTTTGTGTGAGAGAGAGAGAGAGAGAGAGAGACAGAAAAGCCTGATTCCAGGACCTAGCCAGGAGAGCTTGTCCCTTTCTCGGTGAATGACCTAGCAGTGTGTCCACGTTTCACCACACCTGACAAATCCAGGACATATCTGCGTGAAAGCTGTATCAATTTAACTGCCACACATGCAGCTTTTCCCCCAAACATTCATCCTCCAAAATTGATGTGTGCATCTCAAGCGAGGAAGCTGATTTTCTGCCTGGAATAGAAGCATGGAGGCACTGTGAAATGGCTCCTGTTCTTTTTCTTCTCTCCTCCCACCTCCTCCTCACCCACCTAGCGCTGCAATGAGGGAGGGATGGAGTTCAGTCTTCAGCAGCAACTATCATTTTAACCGTTTTGTGCACACTGAAAACCTGGTAGTCGCTTTATCTGTGCAGCTAAGAGTTGCTGCCAATTATGCGATGGCTTAAACCTGTAGCTTTTGCCTGTTCAGAAATGGGGGGTGAGGGAGCTGAAGATTGGGCTTTGCCCTGCTCCATGAGACTAACTCTGGGGGAGAAACCTTTCTTCATTCTACATTTCAGAAACAAGGTGCACATGGTATATAAGAAAATGCAGTGTTTAGGCCTGGATCTGGGTGAAGTGGGGCAAAGATTCACCCTCCTTAAGTCGATTTGGATTTTCAGTAAAGTCGTGGCCTCGTGAATTGGGGTATCCTGGGGGAAATCTCAGGCCGGGGCAGGCATGGGGTTACAACCATATGTCCTTGAGCCAGGGTAGAATAATAGAAAAATAGAAAATGAGGGTTGGAAGGGACGTCAGGAGGTCACATCTAGTCCAACCCCTGCTCCAAGCAGGACCAGCCCCAGCTACATCATCCCCAACTAGACCAGTCCCAACTAAATCATCAACATCCAGATGTTGAGAGGAGGCAAGTGGTGGGCAACCTTCCCTGGAGCCTGCATGAATTCAGTGCTGCAGCCTGATGCTTGTGGGTGCTGTGTGCTAACTTCTCAGTGAGACTCGGAGCCACAATGCCAATTGTTCCTGGTCACCTCAGCTCCCTCGGCGCTATGTGAGAGTCAGGATGCCACTAGCAAACAGCCATGGCCACTTCCAGCTGTGGGCAGCATTCTTGCCTCCTAGACACCCCCCTTGGTGTTTGCAGCTGGACATCGCAGCCTCCTTCATTTCTTGTTGGAAGCTGTTCTCTGGGGTGCGTGCACCCTCACACAACTCTGCCCCACAACTAAAGCTGGAACCCTAGCTGCTGCTGAAGGCTGGTCTCCTTGAGCAGAGCTATACAGTTTTAAAAGAGCTGAAGAGTCTCCAAGGTTGTGAAATGGGAGGAGAGAGACCTGGAGCAGCTAGCAGACTACAAAATTGCCTTACGAGAGGTTACAAGACCATTTAAAAACCAGAGATGACTGTAAACACCCCTGGAGTGAAGAACAATGAAGCCATGAAATCAGGTGGCTCCTGGAATAGCAATGCAACAGCTGCCGTAACGTGGAGCAGGAATCAAAGCAGGGGGCATCCCAGTAGACAATCAGCTTCCCACAGGAAGGTAAGCAGAGAAGGTAAATGTGCGCTAGAAACTGTGGTACTTTGTGCCCATGTCAGTATAAAACATACAGTCAAACGTAGCTGTGCCAGTGCCACAGCCTGGCCAAGGGCCTTCAGTAACCTACAATGGGTTCGTTTTACTGAAAGAGTCTTCCTTTGGGAGCCGTGATCGTGGACACGATGTGTGTAGTCTGGTAAATGTGGCGTGTGTGTGAAATGGCTGCCGTTACTTCTGCCAACAGCCTGACCTGAGCCTTTTGTTTCCAACAGGCGCGTTGCACTCCATGCTGGGCGCCATGGACAAGAGAGTGTCAGAGGAGGTAAGGCTGTTGGAACAACTCGGTTCTTACCTCTCTTCCCCAGATGAATAGTAGCACAGAGGCCTGTAGGACTGAGAGCCTTTGAAATGGTCATGGTTTATCCCCTTTGGGGACTCAGCATCATTAACTCATTTAAAATCTCACGGCCTAAAATGTTTTAATCCCCACTTTCAAATATGAGAGTTGTGGCTGGCAAAGATGAAGGAACAAGGTTTGTGTGTAGTTGCAGAATCAAAAAGCAATGCAGCTGCACCATCCTGTCAGAAGGGGAGAGATTGCAGCTAGCACTGATTGTGGAAGTGTGTCTGGGGAGCATGTCTTGGGGTCACTAGGTCCCAACCCACTAAAAGCACAGCAAGTGAAACCCAGCACCGCCTACTCTACCTGGGACCTTACGGGCAGCCGCAGCTTGGGTGTAACATGCTTTTGCTGATGCATGCGTGTGCTTTCTCCCCTCCCCGCCACCCCTGGTCAGGGCATGAAGGTTTCCTGCACCCATTTCCAGTGCGCAGCGGGGGCTTTCACCTACCTGCGGGATCACTTCCCTCACTCCTACAGTGTGGACATGAGTCACCAGATCCTGAATCTCAACATCAACCTCATGTTGGTAAGTAGCAGGCATTAGTCGTGCCACCGATCCCAGTTACCTGGGATCTAGGCTTGTCAAATACTTAATTTTTAAAGGGATATTAACTAAGCTGGAACTGGGGAGGAGATGCATCCAGACCTGAATCTCCCTCCGCATGTCTGCTTCAAAGCCCAGTTCAAGGGGAAGCCTTTTGCAGGGCCATTGGATCCCATGGACAAGGTCTGAGTTGTCTTGGTGCTTTCCAAGACGTTATCTTTCTCAAGATGCTCTAAAGTGCAACTGTATGGGAGGAATCGTGCCTCAGGCTGTAGGACAGAGGCTGATCCCACTATGGTGGGGGGG